GGAAAACACGTTCAAGCTCCCCAAAATGCAGTTACCCTTATATGGGGATCATACCTAATCATGGACCTATATTGATCATTTTTGGCAAGGAGATGAAATACCCAATAAAAACCTAAAATACCAAATTACAGTCAATTCGGTTGGAAAACAAGTTCAAGCTCCTCAAAATGGAATTATCATTATATGGCGGTCATGCCTAATCATGAACCGATATTGATAATTTTTGGTTGGGAGATTTTGTACCCAATAGCAACCCAAAATACCAAATTACAGTTAATTCGGATAGAAAACATGCTCAAGCTCCCCAAAATGTAGTTACCCTTATATGGGGACCATACCTAATCATGGACCTATATTGATCATTTTTGGTAAGGAGATGAGATACCCAATAACAACCCAAAATACCAAATTACAGCCAATTCGGTTGGAAAACACGTTCAAGCTCCCCAAAATGGAGTTACCGTTATATGGGGGCAACCTGAAAAAGTGAACCAATATTGACAATTTTTGGTTAGGAGATTCTGTACCCAATGAAGACCTAAACTACTAAATTACAGCCAATTCGGTTGGAAAACACGTTCAAGCTCCCCAAAATGGAGTTACCGTTATATGGGGGCCATGCCTAATAATGAACCGATATTGTTTATTTTCGGTAGGGAGATGAGATACCCAATAGCAACCCAAAATACCAAATTACAGCCAATTCGGTTGGAAAACACGTTCAAGCTCCCCAATATGGAGTTACCGTTATATGTGGGCAACCTGAAAAAGTGAACCAATATTGACAATTTTTGGTTAGGAGATTCTCAACCCAATGAAAACCAAAAATACCAAATTACAGTCAATACGGATGGAAAACATGCTCAAGCTCCCCAAAATGGAGTTACTGTTATATGGGGGCTATACCTAAACATCGACCGATATTGTTTATTTTCGTTAGGGAGATGAGATACCCAATAACAACCCAAAATACCAAATTACAGCCAATTCGGTTGGAAAACATGTTCAAGCTCCCCAAAATGGAATTACCGCTATATGGGTTCCATACCTAATCATGGATCTATATTGATCATTTTTGGTTAGGAGATGAGATACCCAATAAAAACCTAAAATACCAAATTACAGTCAATTCGAATGGAAAATATGCTCAAGCTCCCCAAAATGTAGTTACCGTTATATGGGGGCAAACTGAAAAAGTGTACCAATATTGACAATTTTTGGTTGGGAGATTTTGTACCCAATAGCAATCCAAAATACCAAATTACAGTCATTTCGGATGGAAAACATTCAATTCAGTTGAAAAACGCGTCCAAGATCCCCAAAATACCGAATATTGGGGGTAACGTTATATGGGATCTACCCTGAAACTTGAGCCAAAATTGACAAACGTGTCCAAGATCCCCAAAATATACTGAAATATCGTTATATTGGCCCGGCCCTAAAAAATGGACCAATATTGATAACATTTAGTAGGAAAAAGAGAACATAAAACAGAACAGAAAATATCAAAAATAAAGCCAATTCGTGTACACATTTTTCAAAATATGGAATATTGTGGGGTATCCCTATATGGGTGCTACACCAAAACGTGTATCGATATATCCCACTTTCAATATCAAACATCTTAGGAGAAGTAGCAATGTATGTGCAAAATGTCAAAGCCTTATCTATGGAATAGCTAGAGCGGGTCTTACTCAATCAGTTTTTAAATACACAACCTTCTAGCCAGCTAATCCGACTTTGGGCCGACAAGTCGACGTTTTAAAGAAGGATAGATGTTTAACTTCTAATAAAAAGACCACAGGCTATTAAATCGACAGAAGAGAATGTTATAAGGACCAAAGAAAAATATCATATGCTACTAGAATTGGGTCCCGCCCGACCAATATCGTCACATTTTGAACTCCTATCCTATCAGGAGTATGAACAAAAAAGTTCGGAATTTTATCCGTTACCATGACAGTGGATTATAGGGCCCAGTAAACAACAATCACTTCTTCAGTCTACCACGACCAGAATGAAGTTCTTATCTTTGCGAGCTGAAGCAAGGTGTCTTTAATAGACAAGCTAAAGAAGCGAGTTCTTATAGACGAGCTGAGGGATGGAATTCTGAAGCTGAAGGCGTTTGGTGTACCATTTACCTAAAATCAGACGAAAATATATATTTGGGAACTATATCGGAATCGATTTTCTTGAAACTGCATAAATATCGTTCTAGACTCAATTCAGTAGACTATTCTAAGTTTCGTGCAAATCGAAAGGTATATATGGACATTGGTGCACCATTTACATGAAATCGGACGAAAATATATATTTTTGGGAACTATATCTAAATCGGAAACGATTTTCTTAAAATTTAACGCACATCGTTCTAGACTCAATTAAGTACGCTATGCCAAATTTCGTGCAAATCGAAAGATGTATAGGGACTTTGGTTCACCACTTACATAAAATCGGACGGGAGCTATATCTTAATCTGAACCGATTTTCTCGAAACTTAACACACATAATTCTAGACTTAATTCAGTACGCCATGCCAAATTTCTTGCGAATCGGATGATATATCGTTTACATTAAATCGGACGAAAATGTATATGGGAGCTATATCTAAATCTGAATCGATTTTCTCGAAACTTAATACACATCATTCTAGACACAATTGAATACGCCATGCCAAATTTCGTGGAAATCGAAAGGGATATAGGGACTTTGGTGCATCATTTACATTAAATCGGACGAAAAAATATATGGGAGCTATAACTAAATTTGAATCGATTTTCAAATAATTTAACACACATCGTTCTAGACTCAATTGAGTACATTTGGTACTCAATTTACCTTAAATCGGACGAAAATATGTATGGGAGCTATATCTAAATTAGAACCGATTTTCACGAAACTTAACAGAAATAATTCTAGACTTAATTCAATACAAAATGCCGAATTTCGAGCGAATCGGAAGATATATAGGGACTTTGGTACGCCATTTACATTAAATCGGACGAAAATATATATGGGAGCTATATCTAAATCTGAACCCATTTTCAAAAAACTTAACACACATCGTTCTAGACTCAATTCAGTAAGCTATGTCAAATTTCGTGCAAATCGGAAGATATATAGGGGCTTTATTTACATTGAATCGGCGAAAATAAATATGGGACCTATATCTAAATTTGAACCGATTTTCAAAAAACTTAACACACATTGTTCTAGACTCAATTGAGTACGTTATGCCGAATTTCGGGCAGAACAAAAGATATAAAGGAACTTTTGTGCACAATTTACATTAAATCGGAGAAAAATATGTATGGGAGCTATATCTAAATCTAAACCGATTTTCTCGAAACTTAGCACACATCGCACTAGACGCAATTGAGTACGTTATGCCAAATGTCGTGCAAATCGAAAGATGTATAGGGACTTTGGGCCTTGGTCCAAATAAATGAGATGTGTCAAATTTCATCCAATTCGGATCATAAATGTGACCTGTACTTTGTTTACAATATAACATCTACAGACGGACGGACGGACATGCATAAATCGACTCTGAAAGTGAATCTGCATATTCTCAAAAGGAACCATGTGTCTATCTCGTTTCCTTTTGCCTGTTACAAACATATGCACAAAGACATAATACCCTCTACGACAGTTTGGTGAAGGGTATAACAATGGGTGTTTTTAGGAGCTGAGGGCGGTATTTAATAGGGTATTATTAGGGATAGTTCATTGATGGCAAAAAGATACAAAGTGGATAAAGGATTATCACTATCAAAAAACTCTTAAAAGTGCATTTTCATTTAAGGTGTTTGGACTTGACTGGACATGGTTTTTCTATTGCTTTGTTTTCATCAATTAAAAAAAATGGGTGATTTTTTGTTTTTATTTTTGTTTTTTTTTTTCTTGGGTTATGAAATTATTAAATATATATTTTTAATAATCTAATTCGTTGTTAGGAATAAAGGGGGTTAATAATATAATTAAAAAAAAACTTAAAAATAAAAAACTATTAATTAATAAAATTAAATTTTTTACAAAGAAAAAATAAAAAAATATTAAAATAAAAATATTTATATGAAACGTACATTAAACAGAAAAAGAACGCCACAGAGATTTTTCGTTTTTTGAATCCAACTAAATTTGTAATAGTTGTTGTGGTTGCAAAAATACAATAAAATTTTAAAAAAATACAATAAAATAAAAAAATAATATTATATAACACAAAGGGGTATTAATTATTACAGCTTGCCTAGGAGGGGAGAACAAAAAACAAAAAAGACAGTATTGAAATTAAAATCTTAAAAGAAAAATTATTTATATAATTTTGTTATTTTAATTTCAGTTTTTTTTTCGTTATCACTAAAAAAAATCTTATAAATGTTAAACATTTGTTTTTTTTTTAATTTCTTTTTTTCAGTTTTGTTTCTGGTATCGTATATAAAAAATTGCTGTTTTGTTTTTTTTTTTCATTTACGTTTTGGTTTTTTTTTCATTATGTTATTTTTTTTAAATTAAAAAAAAAAAATAAAATAAAACATAAAGTTTTTAAATATGTATGTATTTTGATTTTTTGTTTACATAATTGTTGGGGGGGAGGGGAGAAGAGGGTGAGGAGTTTTTTTTATATATGGTGGTTGTGGTTAGTTGTTGTTGTTATCTTTTCTTAGGATATCGAATATTTCGGTTATCGTTTCATATCTTGAAAATTTTCGTCTATTTTACATTTCATTGCTATTATTTTTTGTTGTTGTTGTTTTTAGCGACACAAATAAATGAATAATTTTTAATGTTGTTGTTGTTGTTTTTGTTGTCATTATTATCAAGAAAACAAACACATAATATTGCTGCTGCTAAAGTAAAATCTAAAAATCCTTTTCAATTTACTACCATCTGGATGCTGCAACTGTTGCAACTGATGTTTGTTGTTGTAGAGGTTGTAGAAGTTGTTGTTGTGGTTGTTGTTTTCCTTATTAGTATCCATCCATTGCCAATTTGCCTGCCAAACTCAAATATTCAATTTATATATAGCCGCAAAGACATGTACCAACAAAAGCGATGCCACCAATATCGTCAAGATAATCAGGATAATTGTCGAAAATATATACCATCAGTCCGTGGGGCCTTTACACAGCAGCTTCCGTGCAAAGCCAATGGCCGAATCTCACAAAATCTCACAGCATCGACAATAACGTGGTCGTTGTCCAGTGGTAACTGGTGGCGGTGTAACTGGGGCAAAGTACGCATGAACTTTTATATTTGGTAAATGTTGCTGTGTGTGGAGAAGAAGAAGAAGAAGATGAGAAGATAATTAGAAGGAAAATTAAAATGACAAAAATAAAAAACAACAACAAAAGGGAGGCTGTTTGTGAAATTAAGACAACCAAAGAAAGAAACCTATACAGACTGCCAAGGACTATTTGCAGCAGACGGAGAGGATGAAGACCTTAATAGAAGGCAGTCTTAATAGAGGATTTGGAGGCAGTCTTTATGGAGGAGTTGGAGGCAGTCTATATAGACGAGCTGAAAGGGATTCTTCATCGACGAGCTGTAGAGAGTCTTTCATAGGATAGCTGAAGGGAGTCTTTATAGCCGTGCTGAATGGTATCTGTATAGATAAGCTGAAGGAAGTCTTTATAGACGAGCTGAAGACAGTTAGAAGGAAATCTTTTAGATGAGCTGAAGGGAGTCTATCATAGACGAGTTGAAGGGAGTCTATCATAGACGAGTTGAAGGGAGTCTATCATAGACGAGTTGAAGGGAGTCTATCATAGACGAGCTGAAGGGAGTCTATCATAGACGAGCTGAAGGGAGTCTATCATAGACGAGCTGAAGGGAGTCTATCATAGACGAGCTGAAGACAGTTTGAAGGAAGTCCTTTAGATGAGGTGAAGGCGTCTTTACGGGGTCTATAGACCCCGAAAAAGTTATTTAAAAAACCACGCCTTATATAGATCCCGAAAACAATTATTTAAAAAATCCACGCCTTATATAGATCCCGAAAACAATTATTTAAAAAATCCACGCCTTATATAGATCCCAATTATTTAAAAAATCCACGAAAACAATTATTTAAAAAATCCACGCCTTATATAGATCCCGAAAAAAATTATTTAAAAAATCCACGCCTTATATAGATCCCGAAAACAATTATTTAAAAAAACAATTATTTAAAAAATCCACGCCTTATATAGATCCCGAAAACAATTATTTAAAAAATCCACGCCTTATATAGATCCCGAAAACAATTATTTAAAAAATCCACGCCTTATATAGATCCCGAAAACAATTATTTAAAAAATCCACGCCTTATATAGATGGTTGAAAAAATTATTTAAAAAATCCACGCCTTATAGTGGCCTTGAAAAAAATTATTTAAAAAAATCCACGCCTTATATTGAAAAAAATTATTTAAAAAATCCACGCCTTATATATTTAAAAAAATCACGCCTTCTATAGACCCGAAAAAAATTATTTAAAAAATCTCCGAAATAAATTATTTAAAAAATCCACGCCTTCTATAGGCGTGAAAAATTTTCTTTAAAAAATCCACGCCTTCTATAGACTCCGAAAACAATTATTTAAAAAATCCACGCCTTATATAGATCCCGAAAACAAAAAATTATTTAAAAAATCCACGCCTTATATAGAAAAATCCCGAAAACAATTATTTAAAAAATCCACGCCTTATATAGATCCCGAAAACAATTATTTAAAAAATCCACGCCTTATATAGATCCCGAAAACAATTATTTAAAAAATCCACGCCTTATATAGATCCCGAAAAAAATTATTTAAAAAATCCACGCCTTCTATAGACTCCGAAAAAAATTATTTAAAAAATCCACGCCTTCTATAGAAAACAATTATTTAAAAAAACAATTATTTAAAAAATCCAGGCCTTACAAAATATGGCCTTGAAAAAATTTATTTAAAAAATCCAGGCCTTATATAGACACCGAAAAAAATTATTTAAAAAATCCACGCCTTCTATAGACACCGAAAAAAATTATTTAAAAAATCCACGCCTGGTTATTATAAAAAAATTATTTAAAAAATCCACGCTGGTTCTTATAAAAAAAAAATTATTTAAAAAATCCACGCCTTCTATAGACACCGAAAAAAATTATTTAAAAAATCCACGCCTTCTATAGACACCGAAAAAAATTATTTAAAAAATCCACGCCTTCTATAGACACCGAAAAAAATTATTTAAAAAATCCACGCCTTCTATAGACACCGAAAAAAATTATTTAAAAAATCCACGCCTTCTATAGACTCCGAAAAAAATTATTTAAAAAATCCACGCCTTCTATAGACTCCGAAAAAAATTATTTAAAAAATCCACGCCTTCTATAGACACCGAAAAAAAATATTTAAAAAATCCACGCCTTCTATAGACCCCGAAAAAATTATTTAAAAAAATCACGCCTTCTATAGACCCCGAAAAAAATTATTTAAAAAATCCACGCCTTCTACAGACCCCGAAAAAAATTATTTAAAAAATCCACGCCTTCTACAGACCCCGAAAAAAATTATTTAAAAAATCCACGCCTTCTACAGACCCCGAAAAAAATTATTTAAAAAATCCACGCCTTATATAGATCCCGAAAAAAAATTATTTAAAAAATCCACGCCTTCTATAAACTCCGAAAACAATTATTTAAAAAATCCACGCCTTATATAGATCCCGAAAACAATTATTTAAAAAATCCACGCCTTATATAGATCCCGAAAACAATTATTTAAAAAATCCACGCCTTATATAGATCCCGAAAACAATTATTTAAAAAATCCACGCCTTATATAGATCCCGAAAACAATTATTTAAAAAATCCACGCCTTATATAGATCCCGAAAACAATTATTTAAAAAATCCACGCCTTATATAGATCCCGAAAACAATTATTTAAAAAATCCAAGCCTTCTATAGACACCGAAAAAAATTATTTAAAAAATCCAAGCCTTCTATAGACACCGAAAAAAATTATTTAAAAAATCCACGCCTTCTATAGACACCGAAAAAAATTATTTAAAAAATCCACGCCTTCTATAGACACCGAAAAAAATTATTTAAAAAATCCACGCCTTCTATAGACACCGAAAAAAAATATTTAAAAAATCCACGCCTTCTATAGACACCGAAAAAAATTATTTAAAAAATCCACGCCTTCTATAGACCCCGAAAAAAATTATTTAAAAAAAAACCACGTCTTCTATAGACCCCGAAAACAATTATTTAAAAAATCCACGCCTTATATAGATCCCGAAAACAATTATTTAAAAAATCCACGCCTTATATAGATCCCGAAAACAATTATTTAAAAAATCCACGCCTTCTATAGACTCCGAAAACAATTATTTAAAAAATCCACGCCTTATATAGATCCCGAAAACAATTATTTAAAAAATCCACGCCTTATATAGATCCCGAAAACAATTATTTAAAAAATCCACGCCTTCTATAGACCCCGAAAAAAATTATATAAAAAATCCACGCCTTCTATAGACCCCGAAAAAAATTATTTAAAAAAAACCACGTCTTCTATAGACCCCGAAAACAATTATTTAAAAAATCCACGCCTCATATAGACCCCGAAAACAATTATTTAAAAAATCCACGCCTCATATAGACCTCGAAAAAAATGATTTAAAAAATCCACGCCTTTTAAAGGCCTTTGCAGACGAGCTGAAAGTTCAAGGTAGTCTTTATAGACGCGCTGAAAGTTGTCTTTCATAGGCGACTCTTGGTAGACGATCATGAATGTTTTTATGAATTTGGGATATGATTTTTTTCGACTGCTTGTTGCCTTTTATTTCACAAATAGTTATCCTAATCCCTGATTTTTTTCTCGTGGTTACCTTTAGTTTGCGTATTGCTGCTCTTGTAATTAATTGGCAGTCAAATAGCTCAATTCTTTGTAAATTATGACAAGAAACTAAATGCTCTAATGTACGATCAGTGATTAATGGACAATTATCCAATTCGAGGACGGATAAACTTTCCGCAGCACAGCTACCAGCTGCCAGTTGGCGTATACCATCATCGGTTATCAGTTCACAATGCGATAGAAACTGCAAAGAATAGCAAAAAACAACAACAATTAAAACATACAATTCTGAAGAAATACTTCACCCCTTACCAATTTTTCTAAACTTGGACAACCGGTGGCCAAGTGTGCCAGCGTTAAATCAGTTATCTGATTACACTCCTCCAAATCCATACGTTCCAGATATTTACAATTTTTACCCAATGCCTGAAAGCCTAAATCGGTGAAATTACGACAACCGGATACCTCCAAGGTATTCAAATAGGGATTATTTTGTGAGAGTGCCATCAGTGAGAGATCGGTCAGTTCGGCACATTTGGATACGCACAATTTTTGTAGATTGTGACAATTGCTGGCGATTTGTCGTATCGATGAATCGGTGATGGTCTGGAAGGTGAGGAGAGATGATCATTTATTAAAATATTGTGGTGATGAAAATAATTTCGATACTTACCTCACAGCTGTGTAAATTGAGCACCATTAGATTGGGACAATATTTAGCCAAACACGTTATGGCATTGTCATTAACCTGCTTACAACCTTTGCTGCAGAATTTACGCAAATGCTTACAACCACGGGCTAAAGCTTCGACACCATTTTCCGTTATTAAATGACACCATGATATATTGATTTCTTGTAGATTCTGCAAAGAAGAAAACGATGAAAAAATTATTTAAAAAATCCACGCCTCATACAGACTCCCAAAAAAATTATTTAAAAAATCCACGCCTCATACAGACTCCCAAAAAAATTATTTAAAAAATCCACGCCTCATACAGACTCCCAAAAAAATTATTTAAAAAATCCACGCCTCATACAGACTCCCAAAAAAATTATTTAAAAAATCCCCGCCTTTTATGGAAACCGAAAAAATATTTAAAAAATCCCCGCCTTTTATGGAACCCGAAAAAATATTAAAAAAATCTCCGCCTTTTATGGAACCCGAAAAAAATATTTAAAAAATCCCCGCCTTTTATGGAACCCGAAAAAATATTAAAAAAAATCCCCGCCTTTTATGGAACCCGAAAAAAATATTTAAAAAATCCACGCCTCATACAGACCCCCCAAAAAAATTATTTAAAAAATCCACGCCTCATACAGACCCCCAAAAAACGATTTAAAAAATCCACGCCTCATACTGACCCCCCCAAAAAATTATTCAAAAATCCACGCCTTATGTAGACCCCAAAAAAAAATATGTAAAAAACCCACGCCACATACAGATTCTCAAAAAGATTATCCACGCCTCATACAGACCCCCAAAAAAAATTATTTAAAAAATCCACGTCTCATACAGATTCTCTCTATAATCTATATATAAAACCCATAAGAGGTGCTGACCTCTTCTGTAAAAAAATTTCCTCTAAACAAACAGCCTCCTTAAATTTTCATTGATAAAAATGCTCTTCAATTGACAAGAAGAAATCCCCCAAAATAATGTGGGTAGATGATAAATTAAACAGCTGATTTCTCTGAAAGAGAAAGGTCACTTCACTCTCACTCTCTTTTTAATAATCATTCAGAGATGACTTGGAGGCTTTCTCATAGTCATTTGTGTTTTCATTTAATTGGTGAATAAAAAAAAAGAAACATAATATACCCCCTCCCCATTATCATACACACACATACATAAATAAATGCAAAGGAAAAAATCACTTGCCACGGCTTGAGCAACAGTGCTATGTTTACAAACACAGAGAGGCAAAGTAGAAGAGAGCCAAAAAAAAAAAAAAAAAAAACGACAACAACTAAAAATGGGCCAATGTAAAATGAATCTATTCTCCCCCCTCTCCCCTTTATATGGAAAGAAAATAAAATTACAAATACAAAGTTCAAAACATGATAATTTTTGTTGGGGAATTTTTGCACAACAACAACAGAAAACCCGAAGCTGAGAGACGAAAAGGTAAAGGGCATTACATATTATGTTAATGTGTGTGGGTGGGTGGACTGAACACAACATGACCTATAGCAGGCTTGGGCAGAGAAGTAAAAATTTGCATTCTCACACACTTGTCAATAGGTGTGTGTGTGTCAATGGTTCAGTTCAGTTGTTTCAATTAATTGTATTTACTTTTGCCAAAGAGCACGCGTGCCTGGGTTTGCCTGATGTGGACAGGCTCGGGCAGAGAATAACAAATTTGCATTCTCACACATTTATCAATGGGTGTGTGTATGTGTCAGTTCTTTCAATTGAATGTATTTACTTTTACGAAAGAACACGCGTGCTGGGGTTTGCCTGATGGGGACCTATAAAGAAAAATACCAACAGAGAGAGTGTGATACATCAATGGGGGAGAGCGAGAGAGGGCATCCCTATGATTGGGGGTGTTGCAAATAAATAGGCTTAAGGAAGGTTATTGCAATTTTTGTTGTATACAACTCTCCCTATTTTATGTAAAATGTTGACCTCGTCGTTACGTACATACACACACACACCCACTCTGATATATACACCATGTAAGGTTTTGTATACAAGTGTGGCGCTCTCTATATATCTCTCTCTATTTTCATTTATAGAGCAGTAAAAGGGGCCATTTATAAAAGGATACGAACTATAACAACAAACAAATAGCGAAGTGCACTTGGCCAAAGTAGGCCAACACAGACAGACACTCAAACACACACGTACGTCTATATATGTACGTATGTATTTATTATGAAAAGAGAAATGAGAAAGAGGAGATGTCAGTGAAATAAGGACATCAAAACAATGTTAAAAATGGCACACTTGGCCAAAAAAAAGTAGTGAAAAGAAAATGAGCAACAAAAACAGAAATGAATGAATAAAATTAAAACCAAAAACAAAACGAAAAAAACTCATGCTCTTGAGACATTTAAATAATGAGAGCAAACAAGAGTAAAACACATCGTAATTATCTCACACATGCAAAAATAAAAGGCAAAACGAAAACAAATTGGAAATTTTCCGCTCTTTTAGGGCCCCCCAAAAGAAATGCAATTTTTTTATTTGTTGCTAATTTTTTGAAATAAATGGAAAGTGAGAAAGAGAGGAATAAGAAGCAGAATGGAAACAAGAAAAAGGGGGCTTGTTTTTGGGTATATATTTTTATTTTCCTTTTTTTTGTATTTCCATTCAAGGTTTGTTTATATTGCGAAAAACATAACAAAGTGCAAGAAGAAGAAGAGAAGAAAATTACAAAACTGTTGTTTGTTGTTGTTGTTGTTGTGGGGTTGGCAACACCACATAATAATCATAGAGAAAAAGAGGCATAAAACAATCACCCCACCATCACAAACCAACAACAAACAAAACTTTACATTTATAAAATGAAAATGAAATTTTAAACCCTCTGCCGTCGTGTTGCAGATTGCAAGAGAACATCAACAACAAAAGCAAATGGTGTGAAAAACGTTAAAAAAAGAAGAAAAATCAATGGCAATTTTCTTAATCACAATTTTTGTTTTCTGTTGGCAAATACATTAAAATTTAAATCTATTGTAATGCCATTGATATGACATGTGGAATTGGGAACAGATACGCATTGACATTTTTGGGATTCAATAGGGAAAGCTAAGGGACTGCTGTGTTTATGAAAAAAACAACTATTGGTAAAATAGGCAAAGACGAAACTACTATGAAATATTGACCGAAATATAGGCTTCTGTTAGATTTTGTTAACTCCTCAAAAAATGTTGGAAAAAAATTAAAAATAGAAACCACATTAATTATTTTTTGGAGCGCCTAAAAATATGCATCAATTTTTATTTTTACTAAAATAAATACCTACAAGGGCCTAAAATACTAAACTACAGCTTTTTTGGATGGAAAACATACTCAAGCTCCCCAAAATAGCAAAATTTTGAAGGTACCTTTATGCAGGTCTAAACCTTCAAAATGACGCAATATTGCTAATTTTTGGTGGAATTATTTGCTACCCAAGAAGGACTTAATATGCTCAAGCTCCCCAAAATATCGAACCTAAAAATTGAACTGACATGAATAATTTTTGTTACGAACATTTGCCACCCAAAGAGAACCGAAAATACCAAATTACAGCAAATTCGGATCGAAAACATGCTCAAGCTCCCCAAATTAAAGTTACCGTCATATGGGTGCTACCTGTAAATGTTAACCAATATTGAGAATTTTTGGTGAGAACATTTACTACCCACCAATGAGAATCCAAAATATAAATTTACAACTAATTTGGTTGAAAAACATACCCAATCTCCCCAAAATACCTAATATGTGGGAGTACCGCGTTATATGGAGACTACCTGAAAAAGTCGACCGATATTGATAATTTTTGGTAGGAAAATTAGCTACCCGATAGGGTTCTAAAATACAAAATTACAGCCAATTCGGACCGAAAACATGCTCAAGCTCCCTAAAATATCGAATATTTACGGATAACGTTATATGGGGGCTACCCTAAAAAGTGAACCAATACTGATAATTTTTGGTGGGAACATTTACTACGCAAAGAGAACCCAAAATACCAAATTACAGCCAATTCGGTTGGAAAACATACTCAAGCTCCCTAAAATATCGAATATTTACGGATACCGTTATATGGGGGCTACCCTAAAAAGTGAACCAATACAGATAATTTTTGGTGGGAACATTTGTTACCCAAAGAGAACCCAAAATACCAAATGACAGCCAATTCGGATCGAAAACATGCTCAAGCTCCCTAAAATATCGAATATTTACGGATAACGTTATATGGGGGCTAACCTAAAAAATGAACCAATACTGATAATTTTTGGTGGGAACATTTGCTACCCATAGAGAACCCAAAATACCAAATTACAGCCAATTCGGTTCGTATATATGCTCAAGCTCCCCCTAATACAGAAAATAGGTACTACATGAAAAAGTCGACCAATATTGATAATTTTTGGTCGGGAGATTTTCTACCCAATGAGAGCCCAAAATACCAAATTACAGCCAATTCGGTTGGAAAACATACTCAAGCTCCCTAAAATATCGAATATTTACGGATACCGTTATATGGGGGCTACCCTAAAAAGTGAACCAATACTGATAATTTTTGGTGGGAACATTTGCTACCCATAGAGAACCCAAAATACCAAATTACAGCCAATTCGGTTGATATATACGCTCAAGCTCCCCCAAATACCGAAAATTGGTGCTACATGAAAAAGGGGACCTATATTGATAAATGTTGGTCGGAAGATTTTCTACCCAATGAGAATCCAAAATACCAAATTACAGTCAATTCGGTTGGAAAACTTGCTCAAGTTCCCCGAAATAGCGAAATTTGAGAGGTATCGCTATATGGCGGACATACCTGTTAATGGACCGATGTTGATAATTTTTGGTTGGGGTATTTGTTATCCAAAGAGAACACAAAATATCAAATTTCAGCCAATTCGGTTGAAAAACTTCCCCAAATTTCCCAAAATATCGGATTTTGCTAGATTCCGTTCAAGGGGTCTACTCTGAAACTTGGAACCATATTCATAATTTTCGGTAGGGAGATTCTCCACCTAACGAGAATCCAAAATATAAATTTACAGCCATTTTGGATGGAAAAATACTCAAGCTCTTCAAAATATCGACATTTTGGATGTACCCATATATGGAGGCTATACCTAATCATGGGCCGTTATTGATAATTTTTGGTAGGAAGATTTGTTATCCAATGAAAACTCATAATACCAAACTACAGCCAATTCGGTTGTAAAACATGTTCAAGCTCCCTTATATACCGAAATTTTTAAGGAACATTTATATGGGAGCTACCCTAAAAAATTAAGCAATATTGGTAATTTTTGGTAGAAATATTCGCTACCCTATGAGAACCCAAAATACCATATTACAGCCAATTTGGTTGGGAAAATATCTCTAAAATGTCTCTAAAATATCACAATTTAAGAGGTACCTTTATATGGGGGTAGTCTAAAAAGTAGACCACTATAGCTTATTTTTAGTTGGGAGATTTTTCACTCTATGAAAATACAAAATGCCAAATTACAGCCTATTCGGTTGAAAAGACGTGCCCAATCTCACCAAAATAGCGACATTTTGGAGTTACCGCTAAAGGAGGTCTACCCCGAAACTTGGGTCCATATAAATAATTTTCAGTAGGGAGATTTCCCCCCCAATGAGAACCCAAAAAAAGTACCCAAACTTCCCAAAATGCAAAAAAAAATCGAAGAAAAAAGAACCGGTTTTCAAAATTTTTGAACCGGATATTCAGATAACAAAACCGGTTTTAACACCCATGTGAATATCATTAAAAAGCCAGTAAACCAAAATGTAAAATTTATTGAATCGGACTATTATTGGTTTTATTATCTGCAGAATATCCGGTTCAAAAATTTCGAAAACCGGTTCTTTTTTCTTCGGTTTTTTTTGCATTTTGGGAAATTTGCGTACTGTATTTTGGGATCTCATTGAAATGCAAAATGCAAAAAAAAATCGAAGAAAAAAGAACCGGTTTTCTAAATTTTTGAACCGGATATTCAGATAACAAAACCGGTTTTAATACCCATGTGAATATCATTAAAAAGCTAGTAAATCAAAATGCAAAATTTATTGAATCCGGACTATTATTGGTTTTATTATCTGCAGAATATCCGGTTCAAAAATTTCGAAAACCGGTTCTTTTTTCTTCGATTTTTTTTTGCATTTTGGAAAACTTGCGTATTGTATTTTGGGTTTTCATTGAATGGAAAATTTCCCTATCATAAATGATTTACTTTGACCCAAGTTCCAGGGTAGACCTCCTTTAGCGGTAACTCAAAAATGTCGCTATTTTGGGGAGATTGAGCACGTTTTTTTTTTTCAACCGAATAGGCTGTAATTTGACATTTTGTATTTTCATTGGGCGAAAAATCTCCCATATATAACGGTTTTGTAATATGACACGGGTAAAATTTAGAAATCTGTAAAATATCGATTTGTCGTCTATGAGGACCCCATCTAAAATCTAATGAGCAACATTTTTGTAGAACATTGCTAGGTTAAAAAATCGCATCTTATGATAATTGGAGACCGGTTCAATAAATTAAGGATAAAAAGGAGATGGAAGGAATCGGTTTAGAAGGACAAAATGTTCTATAAAAAAAATTCCTCCCTCATTCGATTTTACTGAAGAAATGTTATCGCCAAAAAATACATACAATAGCTTCAAATGAAAATATACAGGTTATAATCTTCGAGTATAATGAAACATGTTTCCGAACATTGACCTATGGCGATTTTTTTTCCTTCTAGAGTTTTCATAGAGTTTCGCCAATAGGAATTTCCGACCCCTCGATCATGACCCTGATTTTGTCTCACAGTATAATCCGCATATTGATCTATAAAAGTTTCACAAGGCCTCTTTGTCAACGCCTCAAGTGCTTCGGGTCGGTTCCGACTTGGCACATTACAACCAAAAATTCGACTTTTATTTCCCGGAAAAGTTTAGTCCTCCTGTATCCAATATATCCTATCATGTTGATCGCTATTTATTTGGACGTATGATTAATATTAATTCGGAATGTTATTCATACGCACCCAAAGAGAGAGAGAGAGCTAAAGGGGACATGGTGACGTATGAATATATTCATCATTCATACGCTACAATGTCCTCATTAGCTCCATCTCTTTCTCTCTCTCTCCCTCTCTTAGCCCTTGCCAACTGAGGGCAAAATTACTTTGGGTTATATGTTTTTTCCAATTTGTTTTGAACATTTACCCCTTCCCTATCCTGAGTTCCAATATAACAATCTAGCCTTAGGTACTTTAAAGTTTATATATTTTTGCATCGAAATCGAAGTTTTCTTTTAATTTTACTTACCGGACAACCATCCGAAATATATTTTAAACTATTATCGGTGATATTAGAACATGATTCTAAATTAAGGGAGGCTAATTTTGAACAATGGCGACTTATCGATTCGGTCGATATATCTGTTATTCGATTGCATTCCGATAAATCCAACTGTTCTATGTTGTGGCAGTAGTCGGCTAAAGTTCTGCACAATAAGACAGGAGAAACAAAATCGATCAATTAGTAAAAGAAAAATTCATTTCAATATCGAAAAGGACATTTGGATACTCACTGTATTGATTGATCGCCCACAGATTTGCAACCACGCAGCGATAAAAATTTCAAAAATCCTCCACAGCGTTGGGATATATTTTCTATGACGGGACCCTGGAAAAAACAAAAAAAAACTTATTTGTAAGTAAAGAATAGTTTAGGGGCGAGAGTATAGCCATAAGGCCTAGTAAATGTAGGACAGGTCGGGGGAGTAGGCCGGTTGTGCCCCACATACTCAATTTTGTAAATACATTAGAGCCCCAACATGCGTCGTTAATAGGGGCCCAGGGCACAAGCGATACAAATCGAACCATTTTTTTGCTAAACTGGCAAAAATAAATAGGTGACGTAGGGGATGATAGATACCAAGCAACGGCTCCGATTGGCTTTTACATGGCGAAGTCCAGGCTTATCTTGGTCCCTCTTTCATCTCAATTGTGGACACTGAACTCCTCGCGGTGTCACCTGGGGAAGCTAATTTCATTATCCGTTGAAATTGTGAGCTAATATGTGCCGCTAGTTCACCCATAAGAACTATAAAAAATGGGTTGAGGGGTCGGGTTAGTTGTCCACAATCGGAAACCCCAAC